ACACACACACACACACACACACACACACACACACACACACACACACAATGTGCTATGGGTTAGGCATTGGGAAAAGAACAAAGACACATAGTCTCTGACCATATGGAGTTCACAATCCAGTGAGGCAGGATATACCAGATACCCGAATGCCATAATACACAATAAAATGTAAGAGAGCTATTAACTAAGTGTTAAATGAGGTCTAATTGAGGAAAAATCATTACTAACTAGGGGATCATGAAAAGCTTTTGGAGGATATGATAGCATTTGAGCTTTGATTTCAATTACTGATATTCAATAGGTGGAGTTGAGGGAGGGCTATCCAGGCATGGGGACCTACATGAGCCAAAGATGGGAATGGGAAAATGTAGCAAGTGAGATGAAATGATGAGGGTTCTACATTAGGACAATTGTGGAAGGCAGTAAAGTGAGATAAAGTGGAAATGCGGGGTGGTACTAAATTGTGGAGGGCCTTGAATGCCAAACTAAGGAGCTCAAACTTTATTCTGCAGACACTGTGGAACCAGTAAAGGGTCTTGGGTAGGTAAGCAACAGATAATTATGAGAGCCTTTTATTATGTAGGCCTTGGTACTGGAGAGGAGAGGATGTTTCCAGAGAAGTAGGCCACGGGTACAATCTATAGGACATGGAAACTGATTAAATGTGAAAGATGTAGGAGAGTGAAGAGTTAAAAGCTAGTAGCAAGTTGTCAAACTTAAATCCCTGGATGTGAATTGTCATGCCATTAACAGAAATGGGGAAATTAAAAAGGAGGAACAAGTGTTTTGTTTTGTTTTGGTTTTGGTTTTATTTTTTTTTGAGGGAAAAGGGGAAAGAATAGGTTCACTTTTGAACATTTTGAGTTTCCAGAGAGACAGAGATATCCTCTGAGCAGTATGAAACCTTAGGAGAAAAGTTCAGGCTTATTCTGTGAAGTTTGGATTTAGTCAAAAGGCTGCACTTGAGGACCTAGAGGGCCACATGTGACCTTGATTCTATCTATTTCTATCCCATCTATCTTCATTAACATTAAATCTTTGGAAAGATGGAGAGAGGCAGCAAAGGAGTTAAAGAAAAGTGGTTAGAAAAGTAGGATAAGAAAAAGGAAGAAAATGTTGCCTTTTAAGCCAAGGAAAGAATAGTGGCAAAAGCTAAAGAGATTGAAAGAGCAGAGGACTAAGAATTTCTTGATTTGTTAAGGAGGTTATTACTGACTTTGAAAGTAACTTTTCTATGGTAATAGAGAAAGAAACTAGAATGTAAGGGATTCAGAAGAGTGAGTGGGTGGTGAAAACTGCATCATATCCTCCAAGGCTAGGTTGCAAACTCCTTGAAGTCAAAGATTCTTTCTTCCTTTCTTCATTCTTTCCTTTTTCTCTTTCTTCCTCCCTTCCTTCTTTTTTTCTTTCTCCTTTGTATCTTCTCCAGCACCTAGAGCAGCGCTCTCTTTCATTCTATGATTTTATGGGTCCAGAGATCTTGCCCTCCATGTTGAGGGGGAGAGGGTTAAAGGGGAATGAGGAAGTAAACTTCCTCCCTCATTACCCCTCTGCCAATTAATTGCCTTTCTCTTTAGCTTCCTTCTATACCTTTCATCCTTGGAGTTGGTTGGCCAAACTTTTCCTCTTACTTGTGGGAAGGTGGCCAATGGAAGAGGTGAGTGGGTCTTAAATGAGCTAGGCCTGGGCAATAATGCTTTCAAGGTGTTGGCTGAGTTCTTGAGTAAGAGTTTAATCAAAGTTTTGTTACTGAGTTAAACTGAATCCAAAGTGAACTTGACAACAGAGTGGAGGTGAGGGAGAAGTTAGAGGATGGCTAGAAATGGAGAACTGAAGAGTTTAGAGGGGGAGGGAATAGAATGGAATTTAAGTGGGGATAATGTGATTCCTGAGCAGTTTCTACCTCCTGTGACTTGTGCCTGGTTTACAGAGATTTGACTCTTCCTTTGGTATTCTTACCTAGCCTGTTCCTTTTGACCCCCACCAATATCAGGGACCTCCAGAAAGGCAAAACATTGTCTTCAGGTAATGACTAGGGAGATTTTAGCTGTGGGGGCCCTTCTATTCCTTTTCTCTATAATGTTACTTTCTTCTTACTGGGTCTTTTCCTTCCTTCCCTCCTTTCTTTCCTCCTTCCCTCCTTTTCCCCCCTTATGTGGGAACTGAAACTGTTCCTTTACCCCCTCAGCATTGTACCCATACCTCTCTCTGCCTTTGTTCCCAGTTCTCATCCAGACTCCAAAGACACTTGGGCCTTTCTCACTCATTGTTCTAGGGGTTCTGCAGCACCCAACGCATACCTTTGGAATGCTCTGTCCTTGAAGCCAGGGTTGGAGGGGTGTGACACTTCTCTCTATGAGGTAAGGTGATTGATTGTGAGGGTGTTTCCAAGAGCACTTTCTGTTGCTTGGTTACCCTTTCACCCTTCTCAGGTCCTTGTTGTGGGGGTTGGGCCATTCTAGCCATGAAATTTGTCTCTTCACTGGAACTGAAGATTCCTCTATTTCTTATTCTTGGACCCTCCCCCTGCTAGCCACGAGGGCACCTCCTGGGACTCCCCCTTCTTTTCTAGACCATTCTACAACTCCATAAGGACCAGTTGAACCTCCACATGGAGAAAGAAAGACTGAAGAGGGCTGAAGAGCTGGATTCCCTTCGAGGTCGACAAAGTCAACTCCAGGTGAGAATGGGCCCTTGGTCAGTCTGCCTCTGGGACAATGGGCTCATTGGTTAGAGAGGGTGATTTGGGGGCACTAAAAAGGTCCAGAGAAAGAAGCTCTAGGCTTGCTTTTGGGAAGCACTGTCTCAGGAGCCAGAAGACTGAGGCTCTGATGCTACCTGTGTGATGTTGGGCAAATCCCTCAGCTTCATTTTCCTCCTTCATTCATAAACTGAGAGGTTTGAGCTGTGTGGCTTTTGAGGTCTCCACCAGCTCTTTATCAGTGATCTTGGTTTGTCAGAGGGAATAGATAGGTAGATCGAAAGAACAAATAACTACCAATCTCAAAAAAAGGTACTATTTTTGATTTATTTGTACAGGAATTGGACACAAAATGAATATTGACAGAATTAATGCAGATGATGATTAAGTAAATTGTGCTGAGCTTTGGGGAGAAGGGAATAGAGTAACAGAGAAATGTTTTGGGATTGGGTAGGAGTCAAGTTTAGTCAGATTTCTCCCATATAAATGGAGTTCTTCTCCCTGGGGGAGAAGAGATGGTGCCTGGGAAGTCCTAAATTCTTTTCCACAAAATGAATTATGGGGATTGATGTCAAGCAGGTAGGCAACATGGAAGTCAGGATAACCAGAGTTCAAACTTGGCCTCAGGCACTAGTTGAGTGACCCTAGATAAGTCACACTGCCTCAATTTCCTTATCTGTAAAATGGGGATAATAATATCATCTACCTCTCAGGGTTGCTATGACAATATAATTTTTGGGGGGGCTAGACAATGGGGTTAAGTGACTTTCCCAGGGTCACACAGCTAGTAAGCATTATGTGTCTGAGGCCGGATTTGAACTCAGGTCCTCCTGACTCCAGGGCTGGTGCTCTATCCACTGTACCACCTAGCTGCCCTGATAATATAATTTGATAATATTTATAAAGTTTTGCAAACCTTAAAGTACTATATAAATGCTATTACTACTCCTACTCCTCCCTCCCACCCCCCCCATGCTATATAACTTTCTCTAGGTTTTTACAGGATGGCTGAAGGCCTTCCCAGCTTGAAGAGTCCAGGGAATGAGGAAAAACTCAAAGCTGTTATAGCAAGAAAAGGAAAAAAAAGAAAACAGAGGGCAATAGAATAGTCCTGATTACTCTAGGTGTGGAGAACAGCTGTTCTCTATCTCTGTGGGGATAAGAAAAAAGTGGAGTGGGCTTAAGGAGGGACTGAATTGAACCTCCACTCTCCACCCCTACCCCCAGCAAAAACTTCCTGCCATTTAAGTGGTAACTGAGGAGGGGGTGAGAGTGGGATTCCTCTGTTCTCTGGATCTTACCGGTGTGAATAGGAGACAGAGGCTGTTCACTTGGGGCAGAGAAAAGCAAGAGCAATCTCTCGTATTCCTGGCTCCAGGCCCAGGTAGAGATGTGTAAGGAGAAGATCGCTTTGGTGGAGGCCAGAGAGCAGAAGCTCCAGGACCAGAATCAAAGGCTGCAGAGTGAGCTGGACAAGGAACAGGAAGAGGTACGAGGTCAGGACTTGATCTGAGTGAGGGAAATGGAGAGAGAAGGCTTCAGCCTGGGGTGGGCAACCTGCGGCCTTGAGGCCACATGTGGCCTTTGACAAAGGGCCGCCCTTGAGGACCTAGAGTATTCTTCAGTCAAAGGGCCGCCCTTGAGGACCTAGAGTGTTCTTCAGTTCAAGGGCTGCCCTTGAGGACCTAGAGTGTTCTTCAGTCAAAGGGCCACCCTTGAGGACCTAGAGTGTTCTCCACCCCTGGGTTCTGTTCTTGTGCCTAAGAGGTCTGACCTCCCCCTTCATCTGGATCATTTTCTTCTCCTCCCAGCTGTGGTTTGTCATGACCTCTTCTCTCTAGGTGAAGAGGCTGCAGCTGTTGTTGACCACTCGGGGAACGCTGTATAATCACGAGCTGAAGAAGAAGGAGCAAGAGCTACGGAAGCTCAAAGAGAGAGTCCAGCTGGGAGAACGGAGGGACAAAAGGGCATGTATGTTGGGGAGGGAGACCCAGGTGCTGGGCTGGAGGAGGTCCTGGGATGGAACTGGGGGTAAGAAAAAAGGGACTAACAGAGGCCTTGTGGGTACGGTTAGAGATAAAGCAGAGACCTTTTCCATTTCTTTAGAGAGGATCTTGCTATCTGGCTACCTTCAGGGGTTGGTGGGAAGGCTTGGATGTGTATTTCAATAGTACTGGGAACTCTACTTTCAGTGCAGCCCATGATCTTAAAGAGTTGCTTAGGGAGAGGATTCTGGGAAGATGGCCGGGTAGGTCAGAAAATTTCAAGCTCTCAAGATTTTCCTCCATAAAAGAGATGAAATAGCATCACTGGGTGAATATAGAGCTCTGAAAACAAATAAGAGTAGCAGAAGAAAACGGGTCCTCCTGGGACAATTCGAGAAGATCTGAAGAAAAATCCTGGATTTCCTCCCTGTGAAGGTTAAACACCTACAGGCTGCTTTTAACAACAGGCAGCAAATTAGCTGGTCTGGCACCCTGACTCAGCTGCAGCCACAGGAACTTTTACCTCCAGGACAGTGAGGGGAAGAATTGGCCGTCTAACCTCTGCTGACAAGGAACACTAGACCCAGCTGTGTTGTGTAGAGCGTCCCCAGGTGAGAAGGAACCAGTACACCGCCTGCTGAGTGCAGAAGCAGTGGGGTGGGGACACCTTTGCTGTGGGCACTTACAGGAGGCTGGAAGTCTTGGTTTGAGTTCGAGGTCAGAAGGGAGAACTGCAGAGAATTAGAGGCACCACCCCCATACCCCAGGACTAGAGATGATTATAAAAACTAAATTATTAAAAAAAATGCACAAGCAAAGGAGAAAGAATCCAACCACAGAGAGCTATTATGGGAATAGAGAAGATCAGGGTTCATCTTCAGAGGAGAATACTGAAGCAAAGAAACCCTCTTCTTCCCCAAAAAGTAATGTCAAATGGTCACCTGCCCAAAAAGAATTCATTGAAGAACTTAAACGACTTTAAAAATCAAATGAGGGGCAGTTAGGTGGTGAAGTGGATAGAGCACTGGCCCTGGAGTCAGGAGGACCTGAGTTCAAATCTGACCTCAGACACATAATGCTTCCTAGCTGTGTGACTCTGGGCAAGTCACTTAACCCCAATTGCCTCACTGAAAAAAACAAAAACAAAAAATCAAATGAGAGAGATTGCGGAAAAAACTGAAAAAGAAAAATAAGAATAATGCAAGAAAAACAAGAGTATGAAAAGAAAGTCAACCAATTAGAAAAAGGAGATCTAGAATCTTAAGGAAGAAAATGACTCCTTGAAAATCAGAACTGGGCAAGGGGAAGTCAGCGAAGTTATAAGAGATGAAAAAATAAAAATTAAAAAAAAATAAAGAATGAAAAAATAGAAAAGAATGTGAAACATCTTACAAGAAAAACAACATCTAGAGAACAGATCAAAAAGAGAAAACATAAGAATAATTGGACTATCTGAAAGTTCTAATAAAAAAAAAGAATCTTGATACAATAATACAAGAAATAATTCAAGAAAATTGTCCTGAAGCATTAGAACAAGAGGGGAAAGTAGAAATAGAAAAAATCCACTGATCACCACCTGAAAGAGATCCTATGAGGAAAACTCACAAGAATATTATGGTCAAATTCTGAAACCTACAGATCAAGGATAAAATATTATGAGCAACAAGAAAAAAAAATTTACATATGGTGGTACCACAATTAGAATCACACAAGACCTAGCAGTGTCAACACTAAAAGATCGCAGGTCTTGGAACACTATTGAAGAGCAAAAGAATTGGGTTTCTGGCGAAAAATATTATACCCAGCAAAGTTAAGCATAATTCTGAATGAAGAAAAAAAAAAGGATATTTGATCAATTGTCAGGCTTTCAGGTCTTTGTTTAAAAAACAAACAAACCCTGAACTCAATAGAAGATTTGACATACGAGAGCCAAGAGAAATATAAGGTACAGGGGGCAGCTAGGTGGCACAGTGGATAGAGCACTTGCCCTGGAGTCAGGAGGACCTGAGTTCAAATCCAACCTCAGACACTTGACACTTACTAGCTGTGTGACCCTGGACAAGCCACTTAACCCCATTGCCTAGCAAAAAACAAACAAAAAAGAAATATAAGGTACATACAAATGACCAATTATAAGGAGCTAAGGATAGATTGTTTATCTTTTGTGTATGAAAAATGTAAAACCTATGTCTAAGATTGTTACTAGTAATTGGGTAACTTACAAGGGAGATTGGGGTAGACCTGAGTATGACTTCAAAAAGTAAAACCATTCAAGTGCAACTAAAAGAGTAACTATCTTTTACAAATGAGATGCAAGAGGAAGAACCAATACAGAAGAATTAGATGGGGGAGGGGGGCTGTTAGTTCTGGAAAACTACTCTCATTGGGAATGGGTTTAAGAGGGAAAAATACATATATATTTAGAAGAGTATAAAAGTCTTCTAAATTTAGTAAGAAATAAAACTCTAAGGGGATAGAGAGGGGGGAGAGGATAAAGGAGGGATCTTTAGAGGAGTGAGTGAAGGAGCAGGTTAAAAGAAGGGCATTTAGATTTAGGGGAATGGGAGGATAAGGGAGGGATTGCTGGAGTGGGGGTAGGTTAAGTAATAGTAAGGTAAGATAGCAGGTAAAAGTAAAGTAGAGGAGTTAGGAGAGATCGGGGAAAAAAGAGATATGCAAAAACATAAAAACAAAGATTAAGAGTAGAATCTCTTAGGGAAAATATATGTTTATGTATGTATGTGTATGTATATATAAGTGTATGTATATACCAATACCTATATATAAATATATCCAATGCTCAATTGTAGCCTTGAGGTGGTGTGTACCGGGGGGGAGGGGGAAAGAACAAAGTAAAAAGTGTACAGCAGAGAACAAAAGAAAACCTATAAGGAAGCACAGAAAAGATGGACAGCTTTCAACATAATGCACAGTTGTTAACTTATAGGGTCTCTTGAAATGAAAAGTTATTGCTATATATTTTGAATCATCTCCTGTGTTCTGCTGTGTACATGACATTTTTTTGTTTTTTTCTTATTTTATATTTAAGTTCGTAATATTTCTTTTTCTTATTAAGTATTTAAGTTTTAGCATTTATCTAAAATAAAAAAAAATTTAAAAAGTTGCTTAGAGGATTTAGAGGTTATGTTACTTAACCCAGGATCACCCTGCCAGTACATGTCATTAAACTTGGGTCTCCTTGGCTTTGAGGCCAGCTCTAATCTGTGCCTAATCTGTGCAGACAATTGCTAAGCCTCCCTCTGGGGGAAAAAGAAACCCAGAGAAGGATATCATTCACCACTCTCACATGTTTTCTTTTTGCTTGTTACATTAGCTATTGACATTCTCAATACCCTGAACCGGATGGATGGGAAACGCCCGTGGAAGGCAGGCAAGGCTGACAACAAGTAAGGGACCCAGGAACGTGGGCTTGCCACAGTAAGACGATTGAGTGGGTGGCCCTTTCTGTTACAATCACTACTATTTATATAACACTTTAAGGTTTACAAAGCACTTTAACATCCATCTCATTTGATTTTCACAACAACCCTATAAGGTACATGTGGTAATTCCTCCTCCTCCCCCATTTTATAGTTTACTGTCTTCCTTTCTTTCCATCTTATAGGAAGGAAGGAGAACTGTTCCGGACTGTGGTGGCAAACCTAGAACACCAAGTGGCAGAAATTTCCCAAGAGAATAAAAAGCTGAAACAGATCTTAGGCAGGATGGACAGGGATGTGATCAGGCTGCTGAGCTTCCCCCAGAATGAGCCTTCTGTGAGCATCCTGGAGGAGGGGAAGCTGGGAGTGAAGGGCAGAGGCTTTTCGGGCAGGCTCTCCCCTGGGTATTTGTGTGTTGAATCCTTTTAAGGACACAACTGCTCCTGGACATTGCTTGGTTCCCTGGCACCATGTGGCTATGTTTTTAGAGGGCTTCTACATAGGATTTCCAAGGAGACATCAGATTGGCATCCTTTAGGATGCAGCCTCTTTTCCTTCTAGCTTCACTCCTTTCCCTCTTCCTTTTTCTACTGCCCTAGGATGATGATGGACAAGTAGCTACAGTTGACAATGGTGATGTAATATGGAGACACTGGAATTCCCTCAAGAAGGAGGTGGAAAGAATGAAGGGAAATGGTAGGAACTTCCTGACTTGAAGGTCCACATAATTATGGGGCGTGTGTGTGTGTGTGTGTGATAAGTTAATTCTTTCGATATTTGTAAGATTAATCCAGGAGGGACCTTAGAGGCCATTCAGCCCAACTTCCTCTTTATAGTTGTTATGAGGCCCAAGGAGGGACTCAGGGAGTGACTTGCCCCCAAGGTCCAATAGATCAGTATCAGAGGTGCCACTGCTCCTGCCTCCAATGTCCCACCCCTGAGGGTGTGACCCTGAGCCAGAGAGCTCTGTAACGTCTGAGGGTGTCTCCTGTCCCCAGCCCCAGAAGAATACCTCTGCAGGGACCCCATGAGTATCATCACAGACCAGGATAAAGAGCTGGCTCAGCTGCGTCAGGAGATCCAGCAGAGTCGGCAACTGATTGTGTGGCAACAGCAGTGTTTCCAGGTGAGAGAGGACTAGGCAGCTGGAGCCTGGGCTTGTGAGGAGAGGAAGGTCCTACCCATTGCTTTCTTTTCTATCTGCAGGACCAGATAAACCAAGCAGAGGAACTTCCCCAAGACATCACCGGCTCATATTTCTTGGAGGAACAGTTGCAGCTTCAGGAGGCCAAGACAGTGTTCGCTCAGCAGCAGGCTAACTTTGAGCTGGAACGGCGTCGTTTTACGGAAGCTGCCATCCGTCTGGGTCATGAAGTGGGTATATTGAGGTTCTGTTTGTCTGCTTTATGGAGGAGTAGGAGGGGGTGAAGGAATCTGCCTGAGATAGCTTGGGAGCAGAGGTTTGTAGCAGATGATGAGGGCAGAAAGGGAAGGTCGTACCGTATTACTCACTACGATGCCCATATTCCTTAGCGTCGCTGCTTTGAGCAGGAACGCGCCGTGTTCATGAAGGACTGGCTGCTTCAACAACAGCGGAGTCATTCCCTAGAGAGTCCACAGCTCTGTCCAGATTTATCAGCTCCTCAGAGTGAGTATCCAAAGATGCTTCCCCTTACCCAGTCTGCGTGTGGATTATTTTAAAGGTTAGATTTTTTTTTTAAATAAGTCTGTTCCTCTCCCATTCCCTTACCTGACATTCTTTTTTTTTTTTTTCTACTGTGTTCCACTCTACCCAACAAGCCCCAGAGCAACAGCTACGCCCAAAGAGTCCTGGGATCACTCTCTTTTCCATAAGTCACAAAAAGTTGGACAGAAATGGTCCTGGCAAAGAAGCTTACTGGTAACCCCCCAGCATATAGACTCTTTAAGAAGTTTCCAGTTGGTAGGTGTGGATAGAGGATAACTTGGAAGGGTGGTGTGTGTGTGTGTGTGTGTGTGTGTGTGTGTGTGTGTGTGTGTGTGTTTTCGTTCACGCATGCGCTGGGGGTTATAATACAATGGGATTGGAACAAAAGAAGATTGAATTTCTTTCCCAGAATACCCTGTGGTCTTTTACAGGCATGATGGACATAACATTTAACATTCTAGACCATTTTGTTTTTTGGATGGCTTTCTCCAATAATCAATTGTCTTTATGCAAAAAGTGGATGTGAAGATGCACAATGTCTTTTTATTTGGGGGGGGGATCAAAAGGGCATTTTAACCACTGTGTATGTCAATAAAGAAATGAGATTCTGCTTTTCCACTGTTGTGAAGAGTAAACCTTGAAAACTGACCCTTGAAAAGAGGCACTGTGGAGTAGGTGGAATAGATAATTTACCTTAATTATCTGGGGTACCTGAGAAGAATTGGAATGACCATTTAAAAAGCATTAGGGATTGTTGTTAGGTTTTTTCCTACCTTTTCTCTAGCCTCATCTGTCTAAAATTATACACGTATGCAAGAAATCCCATGGTTCACAGAAAGGTGAGATCAATTTGGATAAAGTAATAGTGACAAAGATTCCCTAGGGTCGCTATAGCTTGTGGGTCAGGGAAGAGGTGATGGGCAGAAAGACTCTGGGTTGCTTTCAGGGATTAGATAGGTTCTTGATTATTCCCAGGGAAGAAATACTAATTCCTATCCTATGACATCATCCTAAGAATTCTTCTTTCATGCACTGTGTCTCTCAGCGTGCATATATTTCTGAAACAAGAAGCTGCCTATTACGAGGGGAAAGAACTCTGGACAAGAGGTCTTGTTTTTAGCCCTGCCCCTGTGTTCAGTTATATTACCTCAGGCAAATCATTTAACTTTTTTGCACCTTAGATTCCTCATTTATGAAAATAAGTTTAGATGAGAACTTTGGTGTTCTTAAAGCTTTGTGTTCTCCTTAGATACAAAATAAGGGTACCATGTCTTTAAACCAGTTGTTCTTTAGTTTTTTAAAAAATACAAGTAAAAGCAGTAACGACAATATTATAATGATGACTGTGGAAAAACCTAGCAATTTTGATGTATAAAATGATCCAGGACAATTCCAAAGGACTCATGATGAAAAATACTATCCACTTCCAGATAGAGAACTAATAGACTCTGAGGGCAAAATGAAACATTTTTTTTCTTCTTTTTTTTTTCTCAGCAAGGCTAATGTAGAAATGTTTTGCATGATTTCATCTGTAAAATGGGTATATATTTCTTGCCTTGTCAATGGGTAGAGGAAGGAGGGAAGAAAGGGAGAGAATTTGGAACTAAAAATAAAAAATTTAAAACTGTGTAATACTCATTCCCATATGGGAGGCAGAACCCTGTATGTGAAAGAAGATATGACTCCTAATTGGCTGGGAGAATGTTGAGCACAATGCCGCTCATCTAACTAAGGAACTTAAACTTGAATTGGTTCCAGACATCCTTTGAAGATGCAGTTGCTTCTAGTCCATTATAGGATTGTGTATCCCACCCCCATACATACCACACCGGGGTTGGAATGGTCATTACATCTACCTTTTCCTGTCAATGGGAAGAAGTCACACTGGTCAGAATAGAGATAGGCCATCCTGTGAGTCAATATGGATAACTAACTAAATCTCACCTAATCTACCAAATTCATTCCCAGCTTCTCTCTGTCTCATCAAGGGTTTCTTTTTGGGGGGCATCCCTTTGGCAGCCTGATGAAACCTTTGGACCCCTTCTCAGAATACTCTTTAAAACTTATTTTATTAAATATTTCCCAATTACACATAAACCATTTTTAACAATCATTTTTAAAAATGAGTTCAAAATTATTTTCCTGCCTTCTGTCCCTACCCCCTCCTTGAGAAGGCAAGCAATTTGATATTGATTATATGTGTGAGGTCATGAAAAACATTTTCATATTAACCATGTTGAAAAAGAAAACTCAAATTAAGACAACAAAAATTAAGAAAGTAAAAACGTACACTTCAGCCTGCGTTCAAACTTCATCAATTCTCTCTCTGGGGGTGAATAGCATTTTTCATCTTAGGCCCTTTGGAATTGTCTTGGGACAGGTTCCCCACCCTCAGTCTTGGATCATTATCTGAGACAGAATAGCTAAGTCTTGCACAGTTCATCATCCTTACAATATTGCTGTTACTGTGTACAGTATTCTCCTGGTTCTGCTCACTTCACTTTGCCTGAGTTCATATAAATCTTCCCATGTTTTTCAGAATACTATTTTTAAAAGCATAAAATAAATTACATAGCATGACAAAAGAAGTCAGATTGAAATGAGGTTATCAAAATATTTTTTTTTAAAAAGTTCATGGACCCCAGGATGGAACCCTTGGTGTACATCCTTTATACGAGAATCAGTACAGAATCAGTTCTGAGTCAATAGACAGGTACTTAAATCTCTTGGCTTTTAAGGGAACCTGGATCAAGAAGTAACAGCTTCTGGGAAGAGCTAAGGAAAGGCTGGCAGTGGAGCACTCTATAAATAGGAGAGAGAGATGAGCCAGATGCTTCTCCCTGGCAAGTCCTGTGACTTCCCATGTGGTAGAGTCCTATAAGAAATGGAAGGAGCACTAAATCTCAAAATAAGGTATGACAGCTAGGGAATGCTAAGGAAAAAACAACTGTAAGGAAGATGAGGAGTAAAATTGCAATCAGATTTTAAAAAAGATAATTTCTGACTGTGGAAAGGTAGAGGGTTTTTTCTTTTAAAGAATGCATTCAATTATAAATATCTAGCAAATAGCCATATGTGAGTACTGTAGTAGATACTAGTGATACAACAATAAATCATATAGTTCATAATCATAGTCAGCTTTTTTATAGAGTACTTAAAGGTTTACAAAGCACTTCCCATATATTATAGCATTTGATTCCTACAACAACCCAATGAAATAGGCGCTATTAACATCATCCCCATTTTATAGAGGAAGCTGAAGGTGAGAAGTCAAATGACTCACCCAGAGTCATAAAGCTAAGTAAGATTTTGAGATGAGATTTGAAGTAAATCTTCCGGTCTCTAAGTCCAACATCGTATCCATGGTATCATATGGTCGTTCATAAGAGGAAGGGAGCTTGGAGACCTTTGCTCCGCAACAGCCCAGTACTCAGGTCCTGAGACTCTAAAGTCAGTACATTTTCCATCATTTCCTCTCTTAGCTTTCTGTCTTTATGGAGCTTACATTTGGCGGAGGTCCACACCTCAAGGAAGGATGACAGATATAACACTCACATAACCATAATATGAAGTAGAGGCAATGAAAACACGTGAACAAAGCACTCCAGAAAAATTATGAGGAGAGAAGGGAACGCTTTCAGCTGAGGGTAGAATTCATACAAGAAGTGGCAGCTGAGTTTTAAAGGAAGAGAAGGAGCCCAAAAGGTTGAGATGAGGACAGAGTCCCCAAACCTTAAACAGAGAAAGTATAAAGGAGATGGGAAAGGCAACATGAAATGAGAATGGAAAACTTCAATTCAATGTCTAATAAATACTTCTTAAGTGATCCAGATGGAAGACCTTAAATGCCAGGCTCACTAACTTAATTCTTTACTTCAGGAACCTATGATTTCTTTGAAGTTGGAACTCACAGAATCATTGAGTTTTAGAAGAATCTCAAAGTCATCAAGTCTGACCCTAAACAATAATCCCTTTCATTACGTACTTGATGAGTGGTCATCCAATGTTTGTTTGCAAATGTCCAGTAATCTCTCAAGACAGCCCATTTGACTTTGAGACTACTCAAATAGTTGGGAAGATTTTCCTCTTTCATCAAGTCTCCAGTGTTGACCCATTATGATTCCTCATTGTGACCTCTAAGACCAAAAATAACACTTTTATTTTCCCTTTTATCTGATAGCTCTTCAGATAACCTAAAGACAGCTGTAATATTTCACCTAAGTCTTCAGACTAAAGATCACCAGTTCCTTAAGTGAATCTCATATGGTATGAACATAAGGCCCTTCATGTTTCCAGTTTCCTTCTTATCCTTTATATATTCTTTAGATTATCAGTCTTTTTTTTTTTTTTAATGTGGCACCCAGAACTTAATACAATACTTAGGACATGGAATGACCTAGACAGAATTGAGTATCACCTCCATGTTTGGGTAAGCTTCTCCTCTTACTATGGTCAGGTTGGCTTTCGTGGTTGCCATAGAAACACTATTGACTCATATAGGACTTGTAAGTCTCCTCATTCATCCAGATGTTTTTCCATAGTACTTTCGTGTAGTCATTCTTCTTTTTTCTAGTGCTTGTGAAGTTGATTTATGAATCCAAGAGTTAGATATCATAGTGATCCCGATTAAATTTAACTTTATTAGATTTGGACCCAGTTTTCTAAGCTTGTCAAGTCCTTTTTTGACTCCTGAATCCTGTATCTATCGTCTTAGCTATCAATTCCAGCTTGTATCATCTATAAACTTGGAAGTATAGTATTAAACATTCTGCACCTGGAGACAGGAAGACCTAGAATCAAATCTTGGCTCGTATTCTTAGTAATTCTCAGACCTTGTAATGAACCATTTAACCAGTTGGCCTCACTTTTCTCATCTGCAAAATAGGGATCAATTAAAAAACATTCATTGAATGTCTCCTATGTGGTTGGCATAGGGTTAGGCGTTGGCATTACAAAGACAAAACAGAAATGGTTCCTGCCTTCAAGGAGCTTATATTCTATGGGGGAGCAGCATGTACTGTGTGCACACACATATGTAACACATAAAATGCATTTTTTTGGGACCAGCCAACTATAAAGGTCAAGAAAATGTTCTTGTTCCAGGTGTGATTTATGTTAAACTTTGAAGAAAACTAGGGTTCTAAGAGACAGAGGTGAAGAAGAAGAGCATTGCAGGCATGAAGGATGGATTGTACACAAGCAAGGAGATGGGAAGATGGAGCTTCATGTGTAAGGACCAGCAACTGGGCCAATCAGATTGGATCTCGGAGTACATGGAAGGCAATGATTTGGAGGGACCTGGAAAGCTAGGAAGGGGCTAAGTAATGAAGAGTCTTCAACGCCAAACAGAAGGTGTTTCTATTTGGTCCTAGAAGTAATGGGAAGCCACTGGAGTTTGAGTAGAGGGATGACAGGTTCAGAGCTATGCTGAAAGAATATCATTTTGGCAGACATACGGAGTATGGTTTGGAGGGATAAGAGATGAAGGCAGCGAGACCAACTGAGAGGCTATTACCAAAATCCAGGTGAATGGCGATGAGAGCCTGACATCGGGTGGTTATTG